CTGCTTCGCCATGCTAAGCGCACATTCCCTACCATTTCAGCGGAGTGATATGACGGAGCTCTTGTGAAAGTCTTCGTTTGACTAACTGGAGTATGGCCCGAGATATCTAGCTCAACGCCCTTGTCCGCATGTCCTATAAATGAAATGTAAACCTATAACCTTATATAACAGAGGACAACTCATTCTTTCGGAAGACGAAATCAATATATCTGTATTATGTGTGCAATGTAAATCATAATCATGATCATTTGTGTGTTTATGTCTGACGAGTTGTTGCGGTCACGATTTAATTGCGCCACATGTAGTCAACGGGGTCGATGGCGTAGTTGGTTATCGCATCTGTCTAACATGTGTAACAACGTGTCCACAGAAGGTCCTCAGTTCGAACCTGGGTCGACTCATTGATTGGGGTCAAATGTTTTGCAACCTTTTTCATCCTCCAGTCTTCACGTGAAACTGTGACCTCAGATTCAAGATCCAAGAGTCCATTTGAAATCGTTCACAAAGTCCAGCTGTTGTAGGTCACGACTCAACGTATACAATGATGCCCACAGGACGCGTCGCGGAATCTACGGAACCGCAATCTGCGGCGCTCCACTGCTTCTAGCCTATGTATTGTCGGTTGTTGCAGACATTATCAAGGGAAATTATGATTCTGCTAGATTGTACGGTGGTATACCATGCTTTGACATGAATCTTTGTCCATCCTCAAGGTCCTTTTTGTTCTAACGAGCTTCTCGCCTGAAAATTTTGTATCATGGTGACAAAGTATTTGAGGACCAAAATCTTACCTTTCGACTTGTCATGCAGAAAGCTCCAGAACGTCCGTTTCACACTGGTTCGGTCTGGGCGGAACAATTGCTTGACCTCAAACTCAATAATGAATAATTATTTTTCTCTCGATTGAGAAAAAAGTAGATTGTGATACAGAGGAAAAGACGACAAGAAACTCAATGGGTGAGTATCCAGAGGCTTTTGATCTTAGCGGTAGACGCTCCTTCCTCGTTGAGAGAATGAAAGGCAAGACTTATAGCTTAAGCAATAGAAAACGCTATTGTCATGGTGCATCTGACGAATCAGTAAGTCAGCTAGGTTCCGCGTTTTTCTGATTGTTCATCGTCAGAAAGAAGTATTAGCTATTAAAGAATCAGGTCAATGCATCAAGAGCCCGAACGTAATAAGTTGTAGAA